TAATACATTGATACATATCAGTATACTAATTGATATATTCTAAACTATCACTTCTTAGACTAAAATAAAGTCTATTTTCATCTCTTAATGAATATTTGTATCGATGCACTCTACAGTGTATCGATGCATCCCATAACGTGTGCATCGATACACTATCCATGCATCGGCACAAAAATCACATTCGATGTTTTCATCTTAAGGGGGTGCATCGATGCACTAATTGCATTCAATGTTTATTTATTTGACAGTGAATCGGTACACATTGAAGATGTTTCGATGCACACAACCCAGAAATTCCAGTTTAAGCACGAAATTCACTCTCTTTTCAACCCAACTCTTCATATTTCACCTTCTTTAATATCCCTAACTTGCATACATATACTTACACTCATTACCACTCAATAATCACTTCTTTAAACCCAAATTCTTATCCTTTATATGGCATTCAGAAATCGTACTCAATTTCCAACATGTTCTAATTCTCATTCTAACACTTCCTATTCCTTAATTCTACTAATGACAAGTTAAATTTATTCTTGAAATTTAATTAATACCTTTCTATCAAGATTTCACTTATTCACCTCCTTACTTTAATCCTTCCTTATTCCATCATCTTCTTATATTAAAACAAATTAAGCTTTCCTTAAGCTTAATTAGCATCTAATGATCAAAATCAAACTTAAATTTCAGCTAATAATCATCTTATGAGAAAACTCACCTTTGCTTTGAGCCTTCACGTGAGGAGAAAGAAGAGAATAAGAGAACTCTAGAACCTTGTGTTTTTCTTCCTTCACCTCCACGTGTAGCTAATATATATATATATCCCTTCTTTAATTATTTTCCTTGCAAATGATCATTCTATTCCTCATTCTTTTCAATTTGATCCTATACCACATTTCATATAAGTCCTTGAACTATTCAATTATTCTACTTTAAGTACCAAATTCCATAACTTTACAATTTAGTCACTAACCCGGTATTGAGGATGTTACAACGACTTACAGGAGACTCTATTCTACAAAATGTTTAGCAAGGTTCAAGTACACGATATAAGGGAACATATGGAAAGGACTCGTAGTTGCATAAAACATGGAGGGATTATGAGAAAGAATGGACTTATCCGTTTACATTGTTAATTTTCCTATTACTATAAAGTAATAGGTTTCGAAATTCCAAGTATCGATACTCCAAGTACCAGTTTGAACTAAGCAATTAGTGCATTGACATCCCTATTGACGAATTCCTTTGCTTTACCTCTTTCAAGTGCATTGTAGATGTCTTTATGTGTAATCTAACATTCTGATAACCAATATATAAAGAGCATTGTAGAAGTAATAGGCAAATTTACAATGTACATGGTAAAAGTATACCAATATAATGATCATAACGTAAACTTTTGTATATGTATCAATACTTTGTTATCTTAGTCTCGATACTTTAATTCCACATAAAAACAATTTGCACGCAAAATGTATCAAGACACACACACACACACACGCACACATACACACACATATTTCATACTTATAATTCCGAAATGTATTACTTTAAAGTAATAGGTTAATTTTCAACGAAAATAGTTAAAGTCAATCGGTATCATGATAATATACGTAAACAATGTACACGGTAATATGTTGATAAAGCTTGATAACAAATCAAGTAATTAACAGATTATGTTATCGTCGGATTTCTAAGGCTCCATCAGCTTTAACTTTGGTTAATTCCACTTAAAGGCTCAAACAATCTGCACCTAAAATGTATCGGCACACACAGATATATATATATATATATTCCATACTTATAATTTCAAAACCTATTACTTTAAAGTAATAGGTTAATTTCCAATGAAAACGGTTAAAGTCTATCGGTATCATGATAATATGCGTAAACAATGTACATGGTAATATGTTGATAAAGCTTGATAACAAATCAAGTAATTAACCGATTATGTTATCGTTAGATTTCTAAGGCTCCATCAGCTGTACTTTGGTAACATTTTAGGCGTTACCTAATATGTTGATAATACTGATAACAAATTAAGTAATTAACCTATTTTGTTATCGTCGGATTTCTAAGGCCCCATCAACTTTAAAAATGCGCTACCTATTACGTTACATAAGCTCTACGTAATATGTTATTATGCTTGATAATGTTTCCAGTAATTAATCGGTTATGTTATCGTCGAATTTTTAAAGCTCCATCAACTTAAACTTTGGTAACATTTTAGGCGTTACCTAATATGTTGATAATACTGATAACAAATTAAGTAATTAACCTATTTTGTTATCGTCGGATTTCTTAAGCCCAATCAGCTTTAAAAAGGCGCTACCTATTACGTTACATAAGCGCTACCTAATATGTTATTATGCTTGATAAAGTTTCCAGTAATTAATCGGTTATGCTATCGTCAAATTCTTAAGGCTCCATCAGCTTAAACTTTGGTAACATATTAGGTGTTAACTAATATGTTGATAATACTAATAACAAATTAAGTAATTAATCTATTTTGTTGTCGTCGGATTTCTAAAGCCCCATCAGCTTTAAAAAGGCGCTACGTATTACGTTACATAAGCGATACATAATATGTTATTACGCTTGATAATGTTTCCAGTAATTAACCAGTTATGTTATCGTCGAATTTCTAAGGCTCCATCAGCTTAAACTTTGGCAACATGTTAGGCGTTACCTAATATGTTGATAACACTGATAACAAATTAAAGAATTAACCTATTTTGTTATCGTCAGATTTCTAAGGCCACATCATCTTTAAAAAAGACGCTACCTATTACGTTACATAAGCGCTACCTAATATGTTATTATGCTTGATAATGTTTCCAGTAATTAACCGGTTATGTTATTGTCAATATTTTTTGGCGCATTTTACATACGACGATAACATAACCCATTATTACCATTATTATTAGCAACACAACTAATATTTCTGGTGAAATCATATAACATTTCCGACATCGATTTTAACCGGTCACTTATTTAACCAGTCACGCCGTTTTTTAGCCATATTTTAATCGCCTCACAACAGAACTTCCCATCAAAACTTTGTAAATTTATAGGAATGATGAAGAGTTTGTATTTTAATTTAATTATAAATATTTATAATATCATTTATTGTTTAATTCTAATTTAGAGTATTTTCTATAACTATATACAATACATATATGTTTCTTCATATTTTTTATATGCGATATACATATATTATACAAAGTCTAGAGACTCAACTCAAACTTGAAAATCAATACACTAATTACTAAAAATTATGAGTTATTAAAGTGTTATTTTATAACTCTACTCAAATTTAGATTTTTAAAGTTGAGTCGAGTTATAAAATTACTAGTCGAAAAGATTAATTCTTTTGAGTTGAAAAGATCAATCTTTCAAATCGAATCGAGGTTTAATTACCTCTATCCATGCAACCACTCCATAATAATAATAATAATAATATAATAATAATAATAATAATAATAATAATAATAATAATAATAATAATATAACTAAATAATTAAAATATATCATTTTTACTTAAGTATCTAAAAAAGTTTCTGGTTAAAGTCAATATTTAAAGTTATCATTTTAAATTTCAAAAAATATTATCATTTTAGTTAAAATAGGTATTCAATGTATTTTTTAACTAAAATAGATATTTAAAATATTTAATATTTTTCATCTAAATTCTGAGAAATTAATATGTAAAATATTAATTAAAATATTAAAATATTTATTTTAGCCAAAATAATAACTCTTGCTTTAAAATTAGATAAAGTATAGGTACCATTGGGGTAGAATAAAACCGTGCTTCACTGAATAAACAAAAGGTAAGTATAGGTTAGTGTAGACGGAAAAGGAAATGAATAAAAATATGGCAATGAATTCGAAACCCAAATCTTCCAGAGGCTTTTCCAAGTAAAAAAAACAAGGCTTAATTATAAAATAAGTGCCTAGATTATAACAATTTTCATAAATAGGTACCTAAAGTAAACTTATTTTGATTGATCCATATGCTTAATGTTATAAACGTTATCAATTTAGGTTCTCAGACCGTAAAAGCTGTTAATTTTTTCTGTTGATTGACATGTGTCACATTCTGGTAATTTTAAAAAAATATTTAAAATTAATATTATATTTAAAAAAACACAAAATTTTTTGAAATAGTCCCAAAACTTTGAAAACCCTTATTTCAACCCCTAAACACATACAGGTTATCATGCTTTGCCTCCAACGAAGCTTCACCCGACCTCACCTCCTCGGTGATCAATGACACTATGAAATCACGGTCAATCGACGTTTTGTACCTTGCAAACTCTATGATGAAAATCGTGATCCCTACAGTCAATCGACGGCAACTATGACTGTATCACTAGGAAAATGACAATGACTACATCGACGCAGTAGTCATGATTGTCAAGGGCAACGACGTCAGGTTAGAGATTTAGAATTTTTAAGGATTTTAGATATTTTGTAATTTAAGAGAAATTGGATTTTTTTATTAACATAATAATATTTTTAATTTTAAAAAATCAAAATTATCAGAATACGAAATCTGTCTTTTAATGAAAAAAATTAACGACAGTTACGATTCAAGCACCTAAAGTGATAATTTTTTTTGGATAAACAAAGTGATAATTTTTTAACGTTATAGTATGTGCATTTATTTTATAGTTAAAAAATTTAACATTTTAATCTGAATTATTAAAAACTTTAACACTTATTCATAAAAAATGATATAATATATGCATTTATTTTATAATTAAACCTAAAAACAACCAAGAAAAATTTAAAACAGTAAATCCAGGGTGTCCGAATCCAAAGGCAAAACCAGTAGACAGAAATAAATACATGAGACCACACGCTGGTTTTCTCTTTTCACTTCCTTTTCCAGATACTTTCTTTAAATTTCCAATAATATCCCTCTTTAGCATTTGATCCTCATTAATATATAAATACATTCATCAAAATCACCCGTCTTCTTGTTTTCAATTCTCCTCTCTCCGAACCTACTCATTTTACCGTTTTGCCCTTCTTTACCCCAATGTATGCAACCCTCCCTTCCCCTTTCGTCGCTAAACCCATCCACAGTTTCTCCGTGAAGAAGACCGTGACCGTCAGGGCTTCGGCGCAGGCGGCTTCGTTTAAGTCAGCCACGGCCACGGACAACCATAGAGTGTCGGTGGCGGAGGCTTTGGCGGGGAGTTTTTACGAGATACTCAAGGTGGAGAGAACGGCGTCGTTGAACGAGATCAAGACGGCGTACCGGAGCCTGGCGAAGGTTTACCATCCCGACGCTATGGGATCCTCATCGGACGGCCGCGATTTCATAGAGATACGCAACGCCTACTCGACATTGTCGGATCCGACGGCGAGAGCCGTGTACGATATGTCGTTGGGGGCACGTGCGAGGCGCGTCGGTAATTGGGTGTACCCGACCGGAAGATGGGAGACCGATCAATGTTGGTAGAAGAAAATAAACTAATATGAAAGATTAGGGATTTCGTTTTACTTGCATTTGGTTGTTGTGGAGATGGGAAATCGTAGACACATCACATGATATTGCAATGCATTTTTTTTTTGTTCAAAATAATACAGTAATGTATTGTTGTTTGATTTTGGTGTAAATTCATTCTTCTTGTTTTGTTTATCGGCGGGAATTCAGTCCGTAGAAATTTTATATAAATTAAAAAAATAAAATTATATATTTTTTAAAAAGAAGACACAAATTTTTTGAAATAACTCATAAACTTTGAAAATCTTCATTTCAACCCCTAAACCTACGCTGCCCACCGCCCTCTGCCGTTGGAAAAGCTCCACCCGACCTCTCATCCCCTCGACGACCAAAGCCCCTATGAAATCATGACTGGTTGATAACCGATCGACGATAAATCGACGTTTTAAATCTCACGAACCCTAGAATGAAAATCGTGATCTCATGCGATTCCGATGGTTAATCAGCCACAACTAAGATGACATATAACTAAAATGATGGCAAGGACTACGTCGACGACGGTGGTCATGGTTGGAGAGGGCGAGACGATGGATTAAGGTTAAGATTTGAAATTTTAGGGTTGTTTTATAATATAAGAAAAGTTAGGGTTTTTTATAAATATAATAAATTTTAAAACTAACAGGCTTGAACATGCTATGCATTATTTGAATGTAAAGCTAACTAGTATCTGGTCTCACATAGCCAACAAACACTAGTTATTGAGGGAACCCGATGTCACATAGCATTTGTGCAATTCCCGCTGACATATGGAATGATCTTCTGGTCCTCACATAGCCATCAAGTAGATCACTGAGGGGAACCCGATGTCATATATCATCGGCACAATTCCCGCCTAACTGAAGCATTAGCTCGATCTCACATACCCTTCAAGCCAAGCTTTAACACATCTGATGTACTGGGCTGATGCAACTATACATACATATATAAGGCCAAAGGCCACACAATATTGACATCGCTAACCCATTCCTCATGAGTGTTCGAGCATCGCGCCCTTGTTATCCCTAAAATGCCTCACGCATTGACAATGTCCCACTAGGGCAATTAAGGTAACCTGTCTATACCCTAGCATAGATGGACTCAGTAAAGTAAGAACATCCTCTCACTAGCTTCTATCTCGCTCGTTCTCTCATCTAGAACGTTATATGAAGGCATATTAGTCTGTTACTGCTGTTATTTATTAAGTTGATTTATTCTAGTCGTTCATTACTGAAAGGTGTCTTAGTCACTTTGACTCAAGAAAAGTCTCTACGCGTTTCGTGATTTAACGATGATTACTGAGTTTGTTGATCACTGGTTGTACTATTCGCTAGCCCGAGGCATGACTCGGGTTCAACTCTAAGTAGTGACACTTTAGTCACTCTTGCTATGCTTTCCTTTAATCTACACTCGAGTTAGAGAGACAATTGTTCGTCCATCATTCACAATCATTCTCGTAGTAAATGATTCCTATATTTTGTAGTCTGATTAATTCATCATACCGCTTTTTGATATGTCCTCTATAATGATCATTCATTCTTAGTTACTCGCTTTAAGGCCCAGAAGGATAATTTTGTAATTTTAGCCCCCAATGGTATTTTAGTAATTTTCTTATACCTTAGATCTTGAAGTCGCTTAACCACTTTGGGTATTGATACCAAGCCTTCAGTATAGAGACTAATTTTTTGGTATAGAGACCAATTTTTGGGTATGGACACCAATTTTTGGGTATGAAGACCAATTTGGTCTCGAAATTAAGAATCTGATCTAGATACCGAGCACTCGGTATCGATACTATAACCTTCAGTATCGATACCAAAGGACCAGTATTGATACTTATCTTCTCGGTATCCATACTCCCTACCTGAAACCCTAATTTTGCCCCCAATTCAACTAGTATTGACACTGTTCATCCAATATCGATACTAGAACCCTGAAATGATTATTTTAAGCTAAAAAAACAACCAAAAATCATCTTAAATGACTTGGTTTGGTTCCTAATCTTTGTTCTGAAGCTTTAGAGAGTTAATTAGGGTCATAAGGTGTCATAGAAACACTTTCTTAACACTTAAAACGTCTTTTAATCTTGAAATAAAATTTAACCCTAATATGCTCATCTACACAAATATTAGCAAATTCTTGAAATTTATGAAAGCTTAATACTCCAAAGGATTAGAAATACACTACCTTGATGTTAGGAACCCGAAATGAAGCTCTTTACTTAACCACACTCATTTCCTTGGTGATTTGGATGAAAACCCCACTTTTCTTTTTAACTATAAAAACCCAAGGCTTGATTCATTAAAATAAGTTGTTAGAGGGGTTATGAACGAAAATGAAGTTTGAAGGAAAGAGAAATGGCTCAAATGATTTACTTTTGGTCTTGGTCCTTTGAGAGAAAAAGCGAAGAAGAAAGCAAATGAAAAAATAAGGAAGGAGAAGGAGATGAATGAAATAAAAATGGTTCATTTTTATGAAATGGGAAAATTACACTCTTGGTCCTTCCCATCTTTCCACCATTCAAACACTCTCTTTAAATGGATAATTGGCCC